ATATATATATATATATATATATATATATATATATATATACAGGGTCCCAGACCTAACGCACCACATGCTAATAGCATGTTCCTAAAGTCATTTAGAGACGAAAATTCTAATACTAAAAATGTTGAGCATACAATAGTTTTCAAATAGGAAACGTTTAAAAATGTTCAATCGAGATGTCCATCGCGCGTTCAAGTCCATAAGTGAAGGTGCTTCTAGATATTAATGTTTAAATATTAACATAATTTTGTGTACATTTTTTAATTTTTTTGGTAGCTTTTTCTACCTATTTAATTAACTTACTCTATACGTTGATAATATTAATAGGTTAAAAATAAAAATTATTTTACGATATTAGGATTATGTATCAAAATTAGCATTATTTTACAATATTAGGATTATGTATCAAAATTAGCATTTCGTATGTAGTTATTTTAGAAAATTAATGAAACAAATATTAATATTAATAAAATAAAACATTGTGTTTTTTTGCATTAAAACCATAAAAATTTATTTTAATAAATTTTATTTTATATTAAAACTTTAAATTTTATATCTATTACAATAGATGTTCGAAATTTCTACCATCGCATTTTATGCATAATTGTGCACGCCTTAATAAATTATACATTGCATTTCGAATTATTTGTGATGTAATAGTGGCAATAGCTTCATTAATTCTCTCAGTTCTTCAGGATTATTACTCTGTTCCTGATAAACATATTTTTTAATATGGTCTCAAAAGAAATAATCTAAGGGCGTCAAATCAGGTGACCTTTCCGACCAATTTATTGGACCGCTGCGTCCTATCCATCTTTCTGGAAATTTAATATTTAATATTCGACGTGCATTTCTGAAATTGAGGCGCTCCGTCATGTTGAAAAAATATTTTGCCGTTGATGTAAAGGCATATTGTCCATTAAATCTACGATCAGAAACAAAACAAAAACAGAAACAAAAACAGAAACAAAATGTTGTCAAAAGAAACAAGATTAGTAAACATTAACATGGATTATACGCCAGCAGAATATTGTGACATGCTTTTAATTTATGGAGAGTATAGACAAAATGCTCGTCTTGCTGCTCGCGAGTATGCAATATGTTTTCCAGAACGCAGAAGATCTGATAAAAACGTTTTTTCAAGACTAGTATATCGTATTCGTGAAACTGGATCCCGACAATGCCTAAAC